AATATATATTTGTGTGTGTGTGTATAATTTTTAAGAACTATTTTCTCTCTGTGTCTCATTATATATAGAGACAATATGGTTCTTTAAAATTATATGTCATTATAATACACACACAATAACACATACTTTTTTTAATAAAATAAACTTAAGTGAATTTATGACTTTTATTAGATGTGTGACTTGAGACTTTGGTAATATCCCTCATAGGAATTAGTATTTTACAATAGCAGGATCAGAAGGTACTGATCTGAACCAGCTAGGACTAGTGCTGTCTTTATCTTCTTATTTATTTTCTGTTAATCCTCACCCAAGGATATTTTTTGCATTGATTTTTTTAAACTGAAAGGGAGCGGGAGAGACAGAGAGAGAGAAACACCAATGTGAGAGAGACATATCGATTGGTTGCCTCCGACAGGTGCCCAACCGGGGCCAGGGATCGAGCCTGCAACAGAGGTACATGCCCTTAACTGGAATCGAACCCAAAACCCTTCAGTCCGCTGTCCTACTCTCTAACCACTGAGCAAACTGGCTGGGGCTATCTTTATCTTTTTAAAGTGTTTATAAGACCAAGACATTACCATGGCTCTGAGTGACCCAGGCCAGTCCTATCATCTCAGTATTCAAACGTCTTCCGATGGTTCTAGGAAATCCCTCTGTAGTTCATTTAAAATCAATTCCTTTTTATTTTAAAGCTATGGAAATAGAGATTAAAAATTGTTCCATGCCGGCCTAGAGGGTGTGGTTCAGTGGTTGAGTGTCATCCCATGCACCAAAAGGTTTGATCCCCGGGCAGGGTACATGCCCAGGTTGCAGGCTCGATTCCCAATAGGGGGTGTGCAGGGGGCAGCTAATCGATGTTTTTATCTCTCTCTGCCTCTCCCTTCCTCTCTCTGAAATCAATAAACACTTCTTGTTTTTAAGTTGTTCCCATGCCTGTCCTCATTGAAAGCCACAGTCCTGGTCGTCACACATCCTTGTCTTCTGTGAAGTAACCAGCAGTGATCAGTCCTGTCCCCTTAATCCTCTAACAAGAGTTTGACTAATGCGGGCGAGGCGGGAGAGATGATTTGATTTTCCCGCACGTGTGGAGCGGCGCTTAGTCATGACCTGCCCGTGTCGCGCTGGCGCGGTGCCCATGCACACGAGTCTTTTCATTCTGCATTTGTGGGAACGCTGTTTTTCATATTCGTGTTCTTTCTCCTGCGTGCAACGCCCTCTCTAGCAACTGCAGTTTGACCTTGGCTATTTTGGCAGTCTTTTCACTTACGGTTTCTGGATCATTTCTGGATATTTTCTCATATGAAAATAAATTATTTTTGGCCATCCACCTCACTCAAATTAGACTTTTCTTGACTTCTGATCACCTCAACCACAATCAGTCTTGTCCTCCTTGTCCCTGTTCCTAAATACTATAAGTAGTTATGGTCATTTATGCCAACACCTTATTATCCTATTTAAATAGAAAGTTCTGCAGGTTGGCAGTTGCATCCTTGTCTCCCAACAAAGTGTCCTGCATGCCACAGATGCCCATTCAATGCCAAGTGTCTCCTGTGTATTGCCTGTTCTCCCCCACCCTCTACCCCAGAAGTTTGCTGTCACGAATGTGGAAGCTCATCTATTTTTTGTAAAAACAGTGTGAGTTTTGTCGCTGTTTACCAGATCTCTGAAATTTCCAAAGTAGGTATTGCCTCACCTTGTCTGGTACCTGACAGCATATTTTCCAAAAATCCATCCTGAATTGTCTCCAGGATGAAAATAATAACCACCAGGAATTATCGATCCTTGGCTTGTGTTAGTTCAGTGATCTGTGAGGACGATGCTCGGATCCCCAGCCCCCAGCCCCCCAAGGGCGGTCACAGAGAACAGGCCCTCAGAAGGCCTTCAGCAGCTTGCTTTGTGTCATCCCCCTCCTGCCTGTAATTAGACCTTTGAGAACCCTGCACCAGCGCTATCATAACACGAGTCGCTCTCTCCTCTAGTTGCTTGCTGAATTGTCTTCCTCTCCCATTCCCAAGCTCTGCTAAGGCAGGGCCCATCTTTGTGTTGGTCACCGTGATGTCCACCAGGCCTGACACAGTCACTGACAGATCTTAGGAGTTCATGAATGGAAACATGGGCGAGTGGACGAGGCACCCACGCTTCCCAGACACAGCCCTCCTGTCCGCAGTGCAGCTGCAGAGCAGGAGGCCTGGTGCAGAGCAGGAGGCCGGTGCCGTTGGTCATTCTCGCTGCTGCTTTCCCGTCTCAGGGCAGTCCAAGTGGTTGTGATGTTTCCCGTAGGAAGAGCCGGCAGCAGCTCGCCCACATGAGGTGGGCTTTCGAGCTGTGCCCTGGGAATGGGGGTGATTCTGCAGTCTTCAGGTACCCACTTCCTTCCCGCCTTTTGCACTGAGTCTAGTGACTTAGCTGGTTAGTGCCAAAAGTTCCCAGGAAAGCGCCGTCACTTCCACCACCTCTATTGAGTGTCTGCTGTGTGCTCCGCTCATGCGAAGTGCTTCACATTCATTCTCATTTGATCCTCAAACAGCCCTGCAAGGGTACGCACTGTGGTTCCTGCTTTTGCCGAAGAGAGCCAGATCGTGGAGTTAGCAAGTGTCCGAGCCGGGGTCTGTCCCCAGGCAACCCGCAGATCCCATGTCATAGTGTCACCTCTTATGAAGTTGAGAGTCATGTGTCCTATCTGTTCCAGACGAAGATTAATCGGTCACTTTGTGTGCCAGCTTTCCTCTTTATTGCTTCACTGTCAATCACTGTGAATCACGCTCATACTTCTATGATCACGCTGATCATCAGGAGGTCAGAGGGCAGTGGGCGCAGATGGAGAAACTAGAACATAGAAAGTTGAGGTGATCTGTCCATGGCCACACCGGGGTCAGATGTCACTGCTTCCCCTCGGCCACTGGTGGCTTCACACTGTTGCGTTTGGTGTTCTACTTCTTGACAGGCATTGAGGTCGGGGGCACTGTCCGCTTCCCCACATGCTCTGGTCTGTGTGACGGAGACTTAAGGCCGAGTTTTACTCCTTCGATTGCATTCTGTTTCTGTTGGTGAAAAGTTATTCCAGGTCCTGTGATTTTCACCACGAAAGGTCTGTGAACTGGAGAGAAGCATCTGAAAGAAGTAATTAAGCATTATTAATACAATTACCTCTAACAAAAGACCGTTTAACTTCCCCACATCCAACAAAAAATTCACTTGCAGCTTCGGGAGCTCCAGCTGGAAGGGCTGAGCGCCCAGCGCCTCATTCAGGTGGAGGAGTGTCGGCTCCTGCGCTGGCCGCTTCCTCCTCAGGGCCGCTGCGTGCCTAGTGGCACACACCTTCCTCCCGGCCCCCTGCCCTCCTCCCTTCCCCTAAGGAACCCACCCCCACCTGCTTATCGAAGGCACAAGGCCCAGACTATTGGCTTGTGCTCGCCTCTCACCTGGCCCAGGGTACCGTATCGGCAGCATTGAAAGAACAATTGATTTTAAACTATGAAAGGTGACCATGGCAATACTTAGAGGGTAGAAACAGTGGCCATCCTAGTGGAAGGAAAGCCTTGGTCAGTTTTTCTGGATTCGTTCATAATGTCAAAAATGACTTATGTATTATGTGACTTTGTGTCCATCCTCACCACAGTTCCCTTCAGTGTTTTCACTGCATTTCACTAAAACATGAGCTCCAGGAGAGCAAACACTGCATAGCACAGAGTAGGTGCCCAGAAAATACTTATTGAATGAAGGATGGTACAGACGAAGAGATTGAAGACCCCAAACTTACTTTTCTGAGGTCACATTACTAGCAAAATCTAAACCAAAATTTGAACCCAGGGCTGCCTAACTCTGTGGAGTTCTTTCTCCATGATTGCTCGGATAGGCCGCTTTGTTGGTGCAGAGAAATGGAGATGGGAGACACAAAGGTGTTTGACAAGGAACAAAGCTCCAGCCGGAAGTCCAGGAATTGTGGGTTCTAGCCCATCCTTGCCGAAATCCCAGTGAGACCTCGGAAAAGGCCCTTCTCCACGCAAAGCCTCAGCTTCCAAATCTGTAAAATGGAGAGAAGGAAGCAGTGCTGGGAGAGGCTCTAAATGTCCGCAAATGCCCGGGCAGATGCATGCTTTGTCATCTCCCATGCTCACTGGGAGCTGGGGTCAGGGGTGGGGAGAGAGGCTGACTAATTCACCACCCAAGCAGGCTGAGGAAAGTAGCCCAATGTGTTTTATTTCGGGAATGCAGCATCCTCTCAAGCTAACAAACACTCTGAAGTGAAAGTTGAAGAGAAAAGAAAGTAGAGGCATTTGAAGGGCTGCGTTCACTCCTGGGTTGGTGCAGTGCATAATCTGAAGCAGCCGCTCGCGGTGATAACTGCCCAGATCTGACACCCTGCAGATCAGAGCCCCACTTTCAAAAGAAAAAGAAAAAACGGACGCGTATCTTTAAAGCCTCCCTTCTTGTATGGACACTTTTGTAGGCCATTGGAGGATGCATATCCAGGGCCTCTGCGTCCAGCAGGGCTTTCTTCTGTCTCCCTGGCTTGGGGATTATTGATTTGGAAGGCAGGGCTAATTTACATGTAAATAAATCTCAGCGCTGGGCAGCGGGGACAGGATGTCCAGATGCCGGGACTGGCTTGCTGACGTCACGGCCTCATTAGCATGCGGAGGATGCGAGCACTGCAACAGCGACTTCGCCGGCACCTCCAGCAGCTCCGCCGCCGCCGGTTATTATTTTTTGGCCGAAAAGCACATTTCCTGGTTCCGCGTCCTGAGCTCTGCGACCAGCTGACTGGGTGCCCGGGGCTGGCTTAGGATCAGCTGGTGACGCGCGGGCTGGGGTCTGAGACTTCCTGCAGGACTGACGGCAGCGAGGTTCTCCGGGAGGCGGTGGGAGCCGCGGTCGGATCCCTGGGAGGAGAGGCGAGGGAAGAAGTCACACTCGCCCCTGCCTGGCAGCGCCCCAGCAGGATCGGGGCAGCGGTGCTGTTTGCTGCGAGTGGGTGCTGAGATGCCGAGCAGCTCGCTCCTGCCCGCTGCCGGCTCCAGGAAGGGTCCAGATTTGCAGAAGGGTTTCTAGAAGAAGATGCGTTGGCTGCCTGCGGTCCTGCTTGCATTCCTGGAAGCCAGGCTCGGGGCGAAAGTGAACTGGGGCAATTGACAAGCTCAGAGGGTCTGGCGGAAGCTCCCGAGAGCGGGCATTTCGTCTTCCTTGGAGGTAGGTAAGGAATTTGCTCTAAATCACACATTACACGGCAGTGTGTTTTCTGAGGAGGATGAGAGCGCTAGGTCTGGAGGCTTGGTACTGGGGGAGAACATGAGGCCTCCATTATCTTAGCGAGGTGGCATGTTGAGTGGCCCCGTGCTCGGCACATTTTGCCTTTCCTGTGCTCAGTAGAAAGCTCAGTTGTAAAGTGACATGTCACAGCGATAGGGCTAAGTCCCATTGCGTTAAAGCAGCATCTCTCTAACAGAAGTGCAGTTGTCTTTCTAAAAATAATAATAGACGGGGAGAGGGCTTAAAAAACCGAACACCTGGGACAGTGCACAGTAGTCATTTCAGCTCCGAAGTCAGCAACCATCCGAGGAGCCGGGGAACGAGGACTTGGCTGAGACCAGGTAAAGCCATGACGCGCCAGCTGTTTGGGGTTAATTTTAGCCGGAGCGTTCAGATGAGAATGGTGACATAGCTCCAGAACATGACTGCACAGCCCGGCGAGACACATGACTCAGTGTGTTTTCCACACTGGGTTTCTCGCAGGAGTGAGGTCTCTGCTCTCTTGGTTTCCTGAAAACCAATCATGGCATCACTAAGCTGCTGAGGAGGTCTTGCGATGAATACAGGTGTTTAATCCCATGATTGTTATGGGGCCTTAGAATATGCTCAGGTCCAGCAGGACTTTCATGAACCGTAAATAATCTAGGCTGGGCCAAATCACGCCGGGTAAGTGGTCTGTGCCGGATGTGATGCCATCCACTCGGCCAAGCCTGGCTCTTGGGGAACCTGGGCACAAGGACTGTTTCCCCAGCCAGAGTTCTGCCTCGAGTCAGTGCATCCATGACCCCAGCCGGGGAGGGCTCCAGCGTGCCGTGCACACACAGACACGGACTGCCGTGTACCAGAGCTGCCGCGTGCCAGGCTGCAGTTTGCTTGGCTTGAACATCTTTTCCTTGAACATCTTTTCCCGGAGAGTGTTTTAAACCATCTCAGTGAGACCTACAGTAAATGAAGCAGCCCGGCCTCCTCCGAGGCCGCCCCGGCTGCTCTGCTCCTGCTGCCTCGGGGCCCCCTGGCTGCTGATGGCTGACACTGAGGGGTCAAGATGAGTGTTCCCATGGGCTCCAGAGGAAGTCACAACTTTGACAGAATTGCCATATTTTGAAAATTTGGATTTTAATCCCTCCTTGACTGCTTGTAAAGATTTTGCCTTTCTATCAAACATTTCCTCCCCCACCCCCGGGAATTCTTTTTTTTTTTATGTGAAAATTAAAACACATTGGATCCATTAAACATTGTTGTCTGTAAACAGTCGTGGGGCAGCCAGAAATTGTAAAATAGCATAGTTTTAAATGGCAGGGTTGTAAAGGTTCACCATGCAGTGTGTGTGTGGCGGGGGCGGGGGGGTGGCGAGGGGGTGAGTAGAAATAGAGGAAGACTCAGAGATGGAAGCTTAGGGATTGGGAAGGGAACTTAGAGGTTAGCAGGATGGGATGATGGTTTTAAGCGCTCAGAATGGATGCAGAAAGCACTAAAGACACTGAGAGTTTCATATCTGAGCACAAATTCCTGTCTGTATGATCGGAGAGCAATGGAACCTCTAGGCAGAGTGATGGGTATAAGGATTGAGTGAGGTGACATAGGAAAAGCGCCTAGTACAGTGTGAGCCACATAGTAAATGCTCAGTAAACGTTAGCTATTATTGTTGTCATTGTTACCTTTTTAGCATTATGATAATACTCACTGTTACTAAAAACAAAATAGTCCACTGAAAAGGTGCTATGTTCACATCCATTTGTCTGCAAAAAGGGATTGTTAGCAAAGAAGGTGCCATCTCCAGTCACTGTCATGTCCATTCCCACTCAAGGGAGCTTTGCACCCTGTTGATTGATAGAAAAAAGCCTATTATTCGGGGCTAACTGTATTTTGCAGAATCAAAAGTGACCGGATGGTAAAACGAAAAGCATTTAACTCAGGCACCCTTAAGGAAGCCCTCCTGTCTGGGCAGCTGACAAGTCACACGTCGAAAGCTGCAGGATCCAAATCGAGGCATTTCTGGATTTCTGTTTGCATTTCCCTTCTGTTCCAACTTTGCATGTGAGAGGCGGTTCTGTCCTTCCTTTGCAGTGTAGACACTTAGCATGTTCTTCTCCATCCAGGGAGGCCTTTGAATATGCGCTGCACCTGCTGGTTGGCTCCTCGGAATTGATCCCACCATGTGGGTGACTTCTGTTCCTGAGTCAACTCTTCAGGGAAAGGAGCAGGCCTCCCTGCCACCTGCCCATGACCCAGTCCTCTGCTCTGATTTTGTCCCCTGACACGATATGTCTTTGCCACATCCGTGCCCTTCCTCCTTCTGTCACGAGCACACGTGAGTCACATGATTTGATGGCTGTTTCTTCCTTTCCTGTCAGCATCTTCCTTTTAAAGTTAGGTGAAATGGAACTTCGATGCAGGGGTGGGTCTGAAGGACAAACTAAATGTGAATTAAAGGAGCCAAAGGAGTCTAGCTTAGAGTTCTTTCTCAGGAAATTCAGAATTGGGACTTGGTCATTTTGGGTTGCCATTGGTTTTCAGTAAAGTTGTGTTTTGCGTGGAGAATGGTATTTTTACGTTGACAGTAGCCCACCGCCCTTGTCTCCTGGTTGTACCTGTGATCCTGAGGGAGTTGTCTCTCCTCTCTGGACTTTGGTTTCTTCATGTGAAAACTGGAAACGAACTCCCCTGGACTCGTGGTGCCTCCAAGGCGTTGGCTTATTTCCTTCCGGTGCTGAGGACCTTCATATTCCCATGAACACCAGGGGGCAGTGGTTATAATGCTCATTTTTACAGGAAACTGAAGGCCAGAGAGGGAGCATAAACATGACTTAGCCTAAATGACACAGCTGGTGACAAATCTCTACCCATCAACTATGCATTGACTGCGAAGGCCGAGTGGGCAGGGCTCAACGCCACCCCTCTGGCCCGCCACCCCTCTGGCCCGCCACCCCTCTGCCCCGCCACCCCTCTGGCCTGCCACCCCTCCACTGCCTTGAATTAGCAGAAACCTCGGTTTTCCGAAGCCCCAAGCCATGGTCTGCTCTCTTCTCTGCTGTTTTCAGATACACAAGAGTCAAAATGCTCTGTCTCTCAGACAGAAATTCTAGGTGGCATTTGGGTGAAGACCCACTGAAACCTTTCCCTCTCCTCTCCTTCCGGTTTATAACCAGTAGCTGCTCGTGACTGTGAATGGTCACAAACTAAGAAGTTGGGGGGCGAGGCAGTGACTGAATCTGTTTCCCTCATTGATGCTCTTGACTGGCATTTGCCACTTGGCTCTTGTCCTAACCTGTAAAGATTTTTAATGAAACGTCCTCAGTTTTATTATAACGTGTGTGTGTGTGTGTGTGTGTGTGTGTGTGTGTGTGTGTGTAAATGAAGAAAGAAGAAAACGTTGCAGTAAGATCACACTGAGCTTCCAGCAGCACAAATCTCCAGCATCTCCACTGGGGACCAGGCCAATTGAGGTTGGAGACTTGGTTTTCTTTTTCCTCTGGCCTGTTGTTGGAGTGGTTCTTTGTTTGGAGTCTGAAACCCGAAGGCTTGCTTGTTCTGTTATTTCCCTGGGGACAAGGGAGAGGAGAAAAGAAGCAAGGAGAGCCAGAGAAAGAGAGATTGGATGGAGGAGCTGGAGGAGGGGAGAGGGAGGCCGAATGAAGAAGCAGCTGGGAGACTGTCGGAGCCATCTCCGACCCCCGGGGAGGGCAGCGCTGAAGAAGACAAGAGCCTCTGCTCCTGCTGGAATCCCTCTCCCGCCCCACCTGTCCCGCAGACCTCCGGTGCAGCCATTCACATCCTACCTAGACCCTACTCACGGCTGCACACAGGGTGTCTTCCCCCAGAGCACCACGGACCATTTAAATCCCTCTCCCGCCCCACCTGTCCTGCAGACCTCCGGTGCAGCCATTCACATCCTGGACGCTACTCGCGGCTGTACACAGGGTGTCTTCCCCCAGAGCACCACGGACCATTTTAAAAAGTGCATTCATTAAAAAAGGCCCATTTTCCAGTACAGCATGAGCCTGCCTTTCCTTGATGGGTGTCTACACCCATTTGGCTGTCGGGTCTGTAAACATCAAGCTGGCTGAACCAAGGCCTCGGTTTCTCTGAGAGCTGACTGGGAAGAGGAGCAGCAACACTGGGGGCAGAAGGTCCAGGGACGAGGTCACAGTGGGCAGGGAGGGCAGCCGGAAGGCAGGGCTGGCCTGTCGGAGAGCGCTTCCAGAGTCAGCCCCTAGAGCGGCGGGATGAGCCTGTGCGAGGAAGAAGCAATAATGATCTCCTCCTGCTTCTGGTCCTGCATCCGAGCTGCTGCATGGAAACCTCCCTGGGGCCCAGGAGGGCCAGGCACCATTGACCCTGGGGTGGCACAGAGATGGGGTGACCAGGGGCCACCTTGAGTTGCCTCCACCCCTCTGGCACTGGGAGTGCATTGGGCCCCGCCCCCCGCCCTTGGCTCCTTCAAGTCCAACCTTGCAAGTATTACCCAGCCCCATCCAGGGTTAAAAGTAACCGGGACAGGAATTCTCAGCATTTCGTTTCAGTTGGGCAGGATGCCATTTTTCCAGCTCTTTTCTTGGCATCCATTCATCAGTTGTGAGTCCTCAGAGATGCTTGTTCATGAAAATTCCAGGACTCAGCTGAAAACAGCCCTGCTTTCTGTGTTTGCCGGGTCGGCTGGCTTTCAGGGCAGCTGTTCGTATATATAGAAGTGGATATTTTGGGTGCCTCTGTGTCTGTAGATAGTCTGTGCGTTAGTGCTTATGTAAATGTATAGAAGAAATAATAACTGTTGCAGATTGAGCACCTACTGTGTGCTAGCCGACATGAAAGCTGGAGAAACCAAGACTCCTAGAAGTTAAGTAAGTTGGCCACAGTTACACAGACAGTAAGAAGGAGTGAGGCTGGGGTTCAAATCTAGCATAACCGCAGTCCCAAGCCTGAATGTCCACCACTCTAGGCCTC